GGAACAACAACTTGAAGAGGCATAGCATCACATTCATCGTCAAAAAGAACTTTTCAAGATCTATCCTGAAGTACGATGCTGTCGGTGATAGGGTAATATCCATATGCCTACAAGGAAGACCAGTTAATACGACTATTATTCAAATTTACACACCAACCCCTAAGGCCAAAGATGAAGAAATTGAAGATTTTTACCAGCTTCTGCAGTCTGAAATTGATCAAACATGCAATCAGGATGTATTGATAATTATGGGTGATTGGAATGTGAAAGTTGGAAACAGAGTATTATAATGACACATGCAAAGAGCTGGAGATAGAAAACCAAAAGGGAAGAACACGCTCGGCATTTCTCAAGCTGAAAGAACTGAAAAAAAAATCCAAGCCTTGAGTTGCAATAGTGAAGGATTCTATGGGGAAAATATTAAACAACGCAGGAAGCATCAAAAGAAGATGAAAGGAATACACAGAGTCATTATACCAAACAGAATTGGTCAGTGTTCATCCATTTCAGGAGGTAGCATATGATCAGGAGCCGATGGTACTGAAGGAAGAAGTCCAAGCTGCACTGAAAGCATTGGCGAAAAACAGGCTCCAGGAATTGACAGAATATCAATTGAGACATTTCAACGAACAGAAGCAACACCGGAAGTGCTCACTCATCTATGCCAAGAAATTTGGAAGACAGCTACCTGGCCAACTGACTGGAAGACATCCATATTTATGCCTACTCCCAAGAAAGGTGATCCAACTTAATGCAGATATTATCAAACAATATCATTAATATCACATGCAAGTAAAATTTTGCTGAAGATCATTCAAAAGCGACTGCAGCAGTATGTCAGCAAGGAACTGGGAGAAATTCAGGCCGGATTCAGAAGAGGATGGGGAACCAGGAATATCATTGCTGATGTCAGATGGATCCTGGCTGAAAGCAGAGAATACCAGAAAGATGTTTACCTGTGTTTTATTGGCTGTCCTAAGACATTCGACTGTGTGGATCATAACAAATTATGGATAACATTGCGAAGAAGGAATTCCAGAACACTTAATTGTGCTCATGAAGAACCTGTACATAGATCAGGAGGCAGTAGTTCGGACAGAACGAGGGGATACTGCATGGTTTAAAGTCAGGAAAGGTGTGCGTCAGGGTTGCATTCTTTTACCATGACTATTAAATCTATATGCTGAGTAAATAATCCAGGAAGCTGGACTGTATGAAGAACAGGGTATCGGGATTGGAGGAAGGCTCATTAACAACCTGTGATATGCAGATGAGACAACCTTGCTTGCTGAAAGTGAAGAGGACTTGAAGCACTTACTGATGAAGATCAAAGACCACAGTCTTCAGTATGAATTACACTTCAACATAAAGAAAACAAAATTCCTCACAACTAGACCAATTAGCAACATCATGATAAATGGAGAAAAGATTGAAGTTGTCAAGGATTTCATTTTACTTTGATCCACAATCAACACCCATGGAAGCAGCAGTCAGGAAATCAAAAGACACATTGCATTGGTCAAATCTGCTGCAGAAGACCTCTTTAAAATGTTAAAAAGCAAAGATAACACCTTGAAGACTAAGGTGCGTCTGACCCAAGCCGTGGTATTTTCAGTCACATCATACGCATGCAAAAGCTGGACAATGAATAAGGAAGACCAAAGAAGATTTGACACCTTTGAATTGTGGTGTTGGTGAAGAATATTGAAATACCATGGACTGCCAAAAGAACAAACAAATCTGTCTTGGAAGAAGTACAGCCAGAATGCTCCTTAGAAGCAAGGATGGCAAGACTATGTCTTACATAATTTGGACATGTTGTTAGAAGGGATCAGTCCCTGGAGAAGGACATCATGCTTGGTAAAGTAGAGGTCAGCGAAAAAGAGGAAGACCCTCAACGAGATGGATTGACACAGTGGCTGCAACAGTGGGCTCAAGCATAGCAACGATTGTGAGTGTGGCACAGGGCCGGGCAGTGTTTCGTTCTGTGGTACATAGGGTCGCTATGAGTCGGAAGCGACTCGATGGCACCTAACAACAACAATAGCCCTCCTATCCCCAGTAACTGTCAAAGATTATTTTTTCCTATGTGTAAACTTTTTCTTGTTTCTTTGTAATAGTGGTTTCATACAATTATTTGTCCTTCTGTAATGGTTTATTTCACTCAGCATAATGTCCTCCAAATTCATCCATGTTGTGACATGTTTCACGCAGTAGACATTGCCTTTGGATGTCATGTTGAGTTACCTCAGCTCTTAAATTGGCTAGGCCACAAGGTGGAGAAACCAATGATGTCTTGAGCCTGATTAAATCTAGTAAATATAATTAAATTTAATAAGTGATCATGACCTAGAAAGTGTCTTTAAAATCAAATAGAACCTTAAATTTACATATGCTTGTAAGTGGACTTATTATAACCATCTCTCATTGGCTTTGCTGGTGATTGTGAATTCATCTGCTAGTTGTTGTTAGGTGCTGTTGAGTCAGTTCGACTCATAGTGACCCCGTGTACAACATAACCAAATACCACCTGATCCTCGGCCGTATTTATAATCGTTGCTGTTGAGCCCATTGTTGCAGCCACTGTGTCAGTCAATCTCGATGAGTGTCTTCCTCTTTTTAGCTGACCCTCTACTTCTCCAAGCATGATGTCCTTCTCCAGGAACTAGTTCCTCTTGATAACATATTCTAAGGAGCATCCTGGCTGTACTGCTTCCAAGACAGATTTGTTCGTTTTCTGGCAGTCCGTGATATATTAAATATTCTTCACCAACATAGTAAATCAGATACATCAGTTCTTCTTTTATCATCCTTATTCATTGGCCAGCTTTCACATGCGTATGAGGCAATTGAAAATACCGTGGCTTGGGTCACGCGCATCTTAGTCCTCAAAGTGACATCTTTGCTTTTGAACACTTCTAAAGAGGTCTTTTGCAGCAGATTTGCTCAGTGGAATACGTTGTTTGATTTCTTAATTGCTGCTTCCATGGGCGTTGATTGTTGATCCAAGTAAAATGAAATCATTGACAACTTCAATATTTTATCCATTTATTATGATGTTACTTACTTGTCTAGCTGTGAGGATTTTTGTTTTCTTTATGTTGAGGTGTAATCCGTATTGAAGGCTGTGGTCTTTGATCTTCATCAGCAAGTGCTTCAAGTCCTCTTCACTTTCAGCAAAGCAAGGTTGTGTCATCTGCATATTGCAGGTTGTTAATGAGTCTTCCTCCAATCCTGATGACCCGTTCTTCTTCATATAGTCCAGCTTCTTGGATTATTTGCTCAGCATACAGACTGAATAAGTATGGTGAAAGGATAAAACCCTCATGCTCATTTTCCTGATTTTAAATCACTCAGTATCCCCTTGTTCTATTTGAACAACTGCCTCTTGGTCTACATACACATTCCTCATGAGCACAATTAAGTGTTTTGGAATTTCCATTCCATATTTTGTTATGATCTAGACAGTTGAATGCCTTTGCATAGCCAATAAACACAGGTAAACATCTTTCTGGTATTCTCTGCTTTCAGCCAAGATCCATCTGACATCAGCAATGATATCCCGTGTTCCACTGAATCCAGCTTGAATTTCTTCTGAATCCAGCTTGAATTTCTGGCACTTCCCTGTCAATGTACTGCTGCAACTATTTTTGAATTATCTTCAACAACATTTTACTTGTGTGTGATATTAATGATATTGTTTGATAATTTCCACATTCTGTTGAATCACTTTTCTATGGAATGGGCACAAATAATGGATTCTTCCAGTCAGTTGTCCAGGCAGCTGTCTTCCAAATTTCTTGGCATAGATGAGTGAGAGCTTCCAGAATTGTATCCGTTTGTTGAAACATCTCAATTGGTATTCCATCAATTCCTAGAGCCTTGTTTTTTGCCATTCCCTTCAGCGCAGCTTGGACTTTTTCCTTCAGTACTATTGATTCTTGATCATATGCTACCTCCTGAAATGGCTGAATGTCAACCAGTTATTTTTGGTACAGTGACTGTGTATATTCCTTCCATCTTCTTTTGCTGCTTCTGCATCATACAATGTTTTGCTCATGGAATCTTTCAAGATTCAACTTGAGGCCTGAATTTTCTTCAGTTCCTTCAGCTTGAGAAATGCCAAGCATGTTCTTCCCTTTTGGTTTTCTAACTCCAAATCTTTGCACATGTTGTTATAATACTTTACTTTGCCTTCTCGAGCAGCCCTTTGAAATCTTCTGTTCAGCTCTTTTACTTCATCATTTCTTCTGTTCACTTTAGCTACTCTACATTCAAGAGCAAGTTTGAGTCTCCTCTGACATCATTTTAGTTTTTTCTTTCTTTCCTCTTTTTAATGACCTTTTGCTTTCTTCATGTATGATATCCTTGATGTCATCCCACAAGTAGTGTAGTCTTCACTCACTAGTGTTCAGTGCATCAAATCTATTCTTTAGATGTTCTCTAAATTCAGGAGAGCTTTGGCTCTCGTGGACTTGTTTTAATTTTCTTCACCTTCAATTTGACCTTGCATATGAGCAATTGCTGGTCTGTTCAGCAGTCAGCCCCTGGCTTTTTCAGACTGATATTGTTGAGCTTTTCCATCATCTCTTTCCACAGATGTAGTGGATTTCATTTCTGTGTTTTCCATCTAGCAAGGTCCATGTGTATGGTTGCCATTTATGTTGTTGAAAAAGGTATTTCCAATGAGTATGTCATTGATCTTGTAAGATTCTGTCATGCAATCTCTGGAGTTATTTCTGTCACCAAGGCCGTATTTTCCAACTACTGATCCTTCGTCTTTGTTTCTAACTTTCTCATTCCAATCACCAGTAATTATCAGTGCATCTTGATTGCATGTTTGATTGATTTCAGACTGCAGAAGTTGGTAAAAATCTTCAGTTTCTTCATTTTTGGTATTAATGCATAAATTTGAATAATAGGTGTATTAATTGGTCTTCCTTGTAGGTGTATGGATATTATTCTATCACTGACTGTGTTGTACTTCAGGATAGATCTGGAAATGTTCTTTTTGACAATGAATGAGACACTGTTCTTCAATTTTTCATCTGCTATCAGGGTACTAATAATAGTTCTAGCTGATCTTTATGTTGTCATTGTGCCTGGCACTACTCCAGCTAGGCCTCTCCACTGTGACTTTGCCACTCTTTGGGAGCTGAGTGGGTGTAGAAGGTGATGTGCAAACCTTCAATGCTGAAATCCAGCCCCGCTGCTCCTGCCTCTCTGGGCACTCTGGATAGAGGCAACGTGCAGGGGGATACCGACCTTTTTTTCCTTTTTTCTAATTTGCTCAAAAGTTCCATATTGACTAGTAGTGTCCATACAACCTTCGTTGATATTAACTCATTTAGCTCCCACAGCTCCCCTAAGAGGTAAGTATTGGTATATACTAATAGAATCCCCCTTTGTAGAGGAGGTAATCAAAGCACCAAGAGATGAAGTAGTTTTTACCAAAGTTGAAGAAATGTTACTGGCAGACCCAGCAGGCATCCAAATGTAGGAGGCCTCAGGATGCCAAGTGCTCGAGAAACAAGTAGGAATCTGCCAAGATGAGGATAAGATAACAGACTTGTTCTAGGTCTTGCTTCAGGCCAGGGTTGAGACAGTGATGCACTGAAATCTAGGATGTCCTGCCATTAAGAGCTTTCATGTCACCCTGGTCTATGGTGAGAGTAGTGGCCTCCCCAGCAGTACTAGAGACCACTAAGGAGAGAAGTAGACTTCTGTCCTTCTGGATGTACTTACAGAGTGGTGGGCCTGGTCTGGGGGCAGGGATGTCATGGCTGAGTCAGCCTGGGGTAGGCTTTCTGGTGGAAGGAGTGTTAACAGGGCCCAGGCAGTGGCAGGTGGGAAGTTGCCTTGGGGTCCCCAGGGGGGAAGGGATATGTGTGCCCGGAAATGCCATCTTCTCTCCAAGTTCTGCAGGAAGTTACTCTGAAAATAAATCAGAGCAAAGATGACAGAGTTTGAAGGCTCTTCATCTAAAGCCTGGTGAAGTCCAGTGTGCCACAGCAGAAAACACCTCTTTGTTTGGCCAGAGTGCCCATGCCCCCAGATCCAGCATTCTTATTCCCTGGACAGTCCTGGACATACAGCTAAAACGATCTCTACAGACTGCGCCTCTCAAGTGACACAACCTTTCCTGAGGGAGTGTTTATAAATTTAGCTGGTCTGGTTATTGTTCCTGTGCACCTGGGAGTCATTCTGCCTCTCCTGGTATGTGTACTGAATTACTTTATTGGGAGAAGACTATCCATATGCCCCCTATGGCCACGTTCTGCAGACAGACTTCCTGTTACTACTTTCCTAGCTGCCTGCACCGAGGACATTGGTCAGCCCTGTGCCAAGGACATTCTGTGCTGCTCCTCCCTGCCACACCCTGGCTGTCAGGTCCTTCTGTTTGGAGGAGCACTGTGCCCAGAGTGCAAGGTGGACATGCCTATCCAAGGACCAGCTGGTATGGACAGCACCATCACACAATGGAAATGATAGTTCTACACCCACCTTGCATCTCCAATCCTTCTACTTCTCCCCGTCTCTCACCTAGACTAATGCAGTACTCTCCTGCTATGGCACCTACCCTCTTTTCCCCAAGAACTAGTCACAGAGGAGCCAAAAAACACCTCTCAAAGCCACCAGTTGAGTCACACTCTCAATAAGACCCTTCAGTGGCTTTATGTTGCACTTAGTGTGAACTTCGTGCTCTGGCCCCGCCCTCCTCCCTGAGCCTGCCTGGCCTCTGGCCCTCTTGCTCACTACCTTGTGACCACACTGGCTGCATTTCAGCTTCTCTTACCTGCTTCAAGGCCTTCCTCTAGTCTGTTTCTCTACCATGCAAGCTATTCCCCAATGCATTTGCCGACAACCATTCATCATTCCATAATTGCTTAAAATGTCACTTCCCAGCAAATCTTCCCTGTCATTCCTTCCCCAACCCCAGTCTAAATCAGACCTCCTGTATGCTGTCTGTGACACCCTGCACTTTCTTTATAGCACTTAACAGCTTGTAGCAGGTATGCATCTGTTTAATGTCTGTCTCTTCCACTAGACTCAGCTCACCAGAGCAGAGATCCTGGGAGCAGAAATCCTTCCCCTAAACCCCAAGCATCCAGCATTGCACCCAGCACAGTCAGTGCTCAGTAAGCATAATACCTGGGCACACCTGGCCCTGCTGCTGATGAGCACAGGGGCCTTGGATTCATCACATACAGATTTCCTCTGATTCTCAGTCTCACCTGTAGAATGAGCCAAGGAAGGACAATTTAGTTTACATTCAGCTCTAGCGTTGTCTGTGAGTTAGGCCATGCTCCAAGCCCTCTTGTAGATGAACAATCCAATCATAGACATTAATGGTGGTTGGTCTGACCTGGGCCAAACTGAAGAGTCCGTGAAGACCTGCTGTTCTTTCTTCATTCCCCTCCCATCTCCTGGCTGCTCTGTCCTTATCTGGCTCAGAGCTTCTTAGTTAGGTGTTAGTAAGGCATCTGACTAAACCCATTCTCACTGAAGCATGAGTACCTGAGAGTAGCATGTCAGCACTGAGCCTTGCATGAGTTTGTGAAGAAGAGGCTTTTTCAGTCAGAAAGCATTTAGAGTGCCTTCTTGGTGAGAAGCACTATGAGTCCAAGAAACATGATGATGATTATTAGGTTCCTAGGGTCGTCATGAGTCAGAGTTGACTTGATGGCAACTAATAACAACAAGAGGGCTGCTGTTACAAAATACCATAAACTAAGTGGCTAATAAGAACAGAAATTTATTGTCTCACAGTTCTCGAAGCTGGAAGACCAAATCAACGTGTTGACCAAGCCAGTGCTCTCTAAAATCTGTAGGGGGAGATCCTTTCTATCTCTCCTAGCTTCTAGTAGCCCCAGTGTTCACATGGCCTCCTTCCTGTCTGTCTCCCTGTGTCTCTTTTATAAGGAACACTCAAATTGGAATAGAACCCACCCTCAAGTATGACCTCCTGTTAACTGATAACATCTGCAGAGACCCTATTTCCAAACAAGGTCACATTCAAAGGTACCAGAGGTTAGTTAAGACTTAACGTATCTTCTTGGGGGACACAGTTCCATCCCTAACACTTAATAACATTTGTAAGACTCCTAGTGAGTACCAGGCGTTATGGTTAAGCACATTAACATTCATTCTCATTTAATCTGCAAAACCACCCTATGCCATACAACCAGTTTAGGTGAGAAGACTGAGGCCCAGAAAGGCTCAGCAACCTGCCCAAGATTTTATAGCTCAGCTGAGGCAGAGCAGGAATCCATGTTTATCTCTCACCAACGCTGAACAGTCACACGACAGGACGGTCAGCACTGTGTAGCTGGCCTGCACAGGACCGCAGGAGCCAAGGGAAGAGAGATCTGGTGCTGATAGCGAATCTGTCAGAAAAGGTGTACCATGTTTAATTACTTCTCTTCAGACACCTCATATAAATCGGATTTTAAGTTTTCTTCTTGCATCACAGATTTTAAATAGTCACACAAAATTAAAGAGCAGTAGGACAGATGAGAAGGCACAAACAGAAAAGGAAACAAAACTAAGACCAGGGAGGTAGACGTTATGTTATAAACATCATGATGGGGTTAAGACTTTGAGCATTAACTCAGCCAACCAGACTCAGGGTCATTATGAAGAAAGGTAACCATGAAGAAATAATGAACGTATGCTCTGGGTTAAGTTTTGGCAGGATGGTTACAGTTCCTGATTAATGATCATTTCTGTGATGTAATGCATAGAAGGCATATAAATATGTGCATAGCTCAGTGCTAGGTACTGAGGATAGGAAGTTGGACAAGCTATAGTCCCTGAAGTTCTCTTCCCCTTTCTGACTTCAGAGTCTGCTACCAGGAGAGATGTTTAAATTGAGCTTCTCAGTCACCCTCACTCCTTCAGACTGAGAGCTCCATGTGGTAAGCAAACTCAGAAGGGATGGGTGGCTAAGTCTTCATACACATCACTCTTTTTTTTAGGTGTCAACCAGAATATGGCTCCCAACAGCAAACCGAAAGACAACGTGGTCTTGTTCTTAGGAAAAGTACTCTTTTCCCTTCTGGAGACTATGGTGTTTTCCATAATCCCAAAGCCAAGGAAGAATGTTGCTGGTGAAATAGTCCTTATAACAGGTGCTGGGAGTGGAATCGGAAGGCTGTTAGCTTTACAGTTTGCCCGGCTTGGATCAGTACTTGTTCTGTGGGACATCAACAAAGACGGGAATGAGCAGACGTGCAGGATGGCTCAGGAAGCTGGGGCCACGAGAGTTCACGCTTATTCCTGTGATTGCAGTCAAAGGGAAGACGTATACAGAGTGGCTGACCAGGTACATCTTGGATGCTAGTTATTTGGTATTAGTGTCAGGAACGCTAAGAAAATACTTCAACATGCATCAGTTTCTTTGTACGTTTGCCTTTCTTAATGCCTATCTTGAATTTCTCTTTAATTTAAAGAATATTGCACGAAATGGGGATGAAGTGTTTTGAGTCCTTACCTATGCAAGACACTGTGCTAAGCACCTTGTCTATACCACATCATAACCCTGCAAAGTAGAGCCCATTATTTTCCGCATTTTACAAGTAAGGAAACAGACATGGAGAAGAAGGTAAGTAACTTACCTAAGAAACAAAGCTAATGAGTAGCAAAGCCACAGCTGGGACTTGAGGCTGTCAACTCCAGACTTATGTTGCTGTCCACATGCTCTACTGGCTGGACTGGCTCCTACCGCATTGTAAACGGTAGGTGATAGCATCCTTCTTTGAAGATAAAGGACCCAAGACTCAGAAATATTAAATAGTCTGCCCAGTGTCACAGAGCTAGTAAATGACTGAGCCAGGATTTGAACCCAGAGTTAGTCTGGTCTTAAATTTAGGCTATTTTCACCACTCTACAATTGAGTTTCATTTCAATCTTCTTTCAAGTTGTCATGAGAAAATCTGAATTCATCCTAAAGATGCTTAACAGCATTGGCTCATTGGGCAATTATACAGATGCACACATAAAGAAATCTTCCAGGGAAACCAAAGCTCCAGTTGCCAATGGGGCAGCTTTACTGAATTCCTGGAGGCACAGGCCTGTGTGACAGCTGCTCCCTTTCTCTTAGAAAGATTTCTCCATCCTCTACATTGGCATGTCTTCTCCACCCAGCACTCTCCTGGGACCTTTATTGTGGCTCTCAGGACCCCCCAGTTTAGTGAAAAGCCTGGCATGAGCAGCCTTACCCACATTGTGCTACTCCATGATCACCAGGCTCCTCTTGTCACCTCCTACTCCACTTTCTAGTGGAAAGGTCTGGCAGATGCACTTCCTAATGTTTTTTTAAGTTGTTCTGTACATTTGGCATCTCTGTTACCACCATCTTCCAACACAGGCTGCCAGTACAGTCAGTGGAGATGAAAACCTGACAGGCTTACACTGGGGCCACCCTCTAAGTGTAGTTGTACCTGTGCTGCAACTGACCTCAGAACTTTAGTCATTTCACTTCAAGCCTTGATACCTGGTTTGTGGATTTACACGGACAATAAACAGCTTCTGTGGCCATTCTTGAGCAATGGCTGGTTTATATCCAAACACTGAAGGTTTTCAGATGTTGTGTAAGCTAGTGTGCGGTGCTGTATAAATAATTACCTCCCTCTCCCCCATTTCTGTGATTTAGTTCTGTACAAGGTGATTCGTTTCAGAAATTGTCAAACAGGCCATAGTACCATTTTATTATCCAGCTTGTATCTCTTTTGGGTTTGGTGAGAATTATTCGTCCTCTTGTGAATTCAGAGAAGGCAAAGTATTCTCCACCGTTGTAGGCCAACCATTTCCACTTCTCATTTTGGATAGTGGGAAAGTGCCAGAGAATTTTAAGAAGTATTCCATAGAGAAGGGATCAAGGAGGAAATTTTCAGAACAGTTAGGGCAGTGTTTCACGTCAGCCAACTCCCTGATAACTTTGAATGTGGTGTCTGAAGAGCATAGCTTTGCACTCAGTTCAGAAAGTTCCACTTTGCTGCTCAGCACTGCTGGATGAAGGGTTATTTTGAAAGATTCACAGAGACCAGACTGACTAGAGCTATGTTGTCATTACTTATTCTTGATGTAGAACACAGAAGTATCCTAACTGTGTATTTAATGTCTGTGATCGCTTAGACAAGGCAAATTCAAATCAATTTTGCTTGGCATACCTCTAACTGACTGCATTGTTACATTCAACAACAGATACTAAAAGAAGCATTAATGTTTTTGTACCATCTGTGAAAATGTCATATTGCTGATTTCTAATGTCCAAGGTCAAATTTCAGATTTAAACTGAGTGGTCCTTCAAAGTAGCTGGCTTTTCACCATTGCCTGCTATTGCTGATAAAGAGTGACTGGGAAACTTTCAGTGGTTGGGAAATTCAGATCTGCCATCTTGTACAGGTTAGCATTAGACAGGACGTGCATGGAAGCAAAGGGTCCTTCCTGTGGATTCCTGCTTTCATAGCATGGATGCTGATAGAGAAATCCCTGCTGATAGACAGGCAGAGCTTATATCCAAGCCTTGTGAGAGTTGTCGTACAGGGTTGAACAGTTGTCTTACTCTTACAAAGAGAATACTGAATGCAAAAAAAAAAAAAAGTGAAAAACTACAATTTGTACCCTTCTCATTCAGATGTTATCCCTGAACACTTTATGAAACAACAGCAAACTTAAAGGATGAGCATTTTACTGTGCGATCATGCATGAGCAATAGTTAAACATATACAGTAGTTAAATCACTTACAATGAAACCTAATCCTCTTTTCCCTCATGTAGCAGAGGTTAAATACTCTTGGTGCCTTTCCATGGCTTAATTTAAAGGGGAAAAAGTAGACTTTGGCTTAATACAGCCCCCCCCCCAAAAAAAACAAAAGAAAATAAAACCAAATACTATATACACAAAAGAGATAAATCAATAGGAAGGAAGATTATTCTCATGAAAAATCCTGTGACAGATGCTTACTTGAGTGTTTTTAAAGTATGATGCTTAAAGGTGTAATTTTTATGTACTACAGAGATGCAAGCCACAGTTAGTAACACCCTAGATATTCACTTAGATGCCTACTTTGAAATGCTAAGCTGGGTAGGAAAGTCTGGTTCTTACGTTATCAGGTGACATAGTATATGCTCATACTATGCTTTAGTCACATGAGTGGTGATAGCAGTAGTCTACAGGTTCCTGTCTGTTTCTTTTAGATGTAACTTCACCCCATCTTGGAGTGATGACAACAGCTCTAATGCTGGTGCTGTCTTCCACCAAAGCCCCTTTCTTCCTTTTGAGTTTTGCCACAGGCGGGGCTCACCTGCTTGGTTATAGCCTCGACTGCTGCTCAGCTTGAATTTGATAAATGTCTTAACCACTCTCCAAATCAGACTACAACTTGTTAGATTGTTTCCAGTCTTTCATCTGAAACTATAAATAAAATGTGAGGTTTCTTTAAACTCTATTTCGTCCTCAGTTTTTCCTGGGCTACAGACCTAGATGGCCAGTGTGCATCCCTAACACATGTACCTCCTGCTGCTGGGAGCCAGACCTTCAACAACAGCAGATGAGAGGGCAGCAGCACCCACTTGGCTTCAGTAATACTTCATCCCCTCCACCAAACTGCAGTGACACATCCTGCACCACATAGGCAGGCACACACACACACCTGTGCACACACACATAGGTACATGCACACATGCACACCATGCATGCATACACATGGGTGTGCACGCACATGCACACATAAATGCACACATGCACACACACACATAAAATGAGCTAAAAGTAGTGCTGCTGTGAGCCTCCTCTGGCAACAATAAGGCAACCACAACAAGTGGTTCCTTCTGACTTTGGGATCAGCATCCCTGCTGTGTGATACAAATCACAGTAATGAAATTCACACATGAAGGAGATCCCAGGGACAGTACCACCTGTTATCCTCAGTCCTGGAAAATCCTGCACCCAGAGCTGACCTAAGAGCCAAGGTTACACCCTGGAGATTTGGTATAAGGGAAGGGCTCCAGTGTCACACCCAGAATTTTTATTTATTAAATAGAAGTCACTGGGAACCTATGTCCAGTGTCACAGCATCAAACTAGATCTGCTGATCCAGAGAAGAAAACCAGCCAGGTTGATGAAACAGGACAGACGAGTTCTAAGCTGTGCTGTGCTGTGAGTTTAAAACACTCATGAGAGCGTCATCCTTCTGCTTCCATTCACTCCTTACTCCACCGCACCTCAGTGTGTGCTAGGTCTTGATTTGTACCACACTGAGGTATAATGAAACTATTCTTATGTCCCATCAGGCTGACTAAAATGATGTGCTTCAGAGTATAGGACAATGTGGAGTCCTTGGGTGGTGTAAACAGTTAAGCACTCAACTACTAATTGAAAGGTTGGTGGTTTGAACCCACCTTGAGGCCTGGTGATCTGCTTCCGAGAGGTCATAGCCTTGAAAACCCTATGGGCTGCAACACATGGGTTGCCATGAGTCAGAATTGACTCAACAGCAACTGGTTTATTCTGTTGTTTTATAGAACACTATACAGTGTATAGAACAGAGTTGTTAGTCACTGAATATACACTACAGCTTAAATTGTAGGATAGCAGCATTTCAGCATTGGAACCATGTTAAGAAGAGGGGAAGGGATGAGAAGAAAGCATCAGAATTGCACTGTAAACTCAACCAAAGAAATAAAACATGCTTTGTTTTTAGAGTACATCAATTCAGTCTGAGCTAACAAGGATAAAAAAAAAAAAAAGTAGTATAAAACTATGAGAAAATGACGCTTAGAATCGTATAAGGAATTACTGCCTTTGTGGTGTTGCTGTTGTTGTTCTATTCAGGTTAAAAAAGAAGTTGGTGATGTTTCCATCCTAATCAATAATGCCGGGATTGTAACAGGCAGAAAGTTCCTCGAGTGCCCAGATGAGCTTATGGAAAAGTCATTTGATGTGAATTTCAAAGCACATTTATGGGTAATTGTTTGTTTTTTGTTTTTTTTTACAGTAAGTATAAAATGACTCCAGCATTTAGAAATACCTTCCTCTTGCTCTCTTAAGATACTAGTATTTCCCTCTAAGTAAAGCCCAGCCTTCTCCACTTTAGACTTGTCCTGGTCTACCCAGTTGTCCTCTCCTGGTCTGACTTTACCTATATTTCCTGGAAGCTCTGTTCAGGGACTCCTCCAAAGATGACAGAATGGTACCCACAGTCATACGACTGTCCATTGATTGCTGGCGTTGCTGGCCACGATCCTTGGCACCTCACATATACGTAATCCTCAGAACAACTCAGTGATAGAAAGGTTCGTGTGCCTTTTCTCTAGTGAGCAAATAAGAGTTAAAAGATTTGTTCAAGACTACAAGTGACAGCTAGTAAGTGACAGCACTTACACATGACCAGGTAACCTTATAATTTGCCTCAACTGGCACACTTTTGAAACTGAAAGCAGGCATTATTAAAAAGCAAACATCAGTGAGGCCTGTTCATGCTTATACCCAAACCAAGACATAGGGTCACCTTAGTACTTCACTTGACAAAAGTGCCACCCACACCAAGGGACCCAGCCCCTGACTTCCAAAGTGATACACCCATGCTTAGAAGTTGCATTTTCCTGGCTGTGCTGAGACCAGTCCCCTCCGTCTCCCCGTGCTGTGCATGTGCCCTCTCTTACCTGCCCCAACTCGGGGGCCTGATTGATTTCATCCCTGCTTGTGGCTCATCCTTCTTAGGGCAAGGCATTCCTTCTGGGAGTGAGTGTTTGCTGGAAGTTTCTGAGAGCCCACATCCCCCTCACTCCTTTCTACAGGGACTTCCTGTCCAGCCCTCCTTTGGCGGCCTTCACTTGTAATTTGTGGTTTATAGATTTTCTGTCACCTAGTTTCACTAAAAATGCAATGGTAACCATGGGATTCAGGAGAAAAATGGAAAGATTCAGAACTGTGGCCACCATGCTCAAACAGGAAGTTCTGCAATTAATTTATGTACCCTTTTACTAAATGCCCTTCTCCTTCATACTTATACCCAACGTAGAGTCAGAATAAAGATGAAGACCACAATCTCCTCTTCCTTAAATACTGGTGTTTCCCTACCCCTATCATTGCTTCTAGTCCCCAACTCTATACATATGTTCTGGGAGCACCTGCACTTTGCCAACCTCAGAACCAGGCGCTTAATTGCTAGAGGGCTCAGGGAGTGCCATGATGACCATACTCCCAAGGGGCAGACAGGTCCTGATGGGAAGTGAATTGACTCATTGCAGACCCAGTGCTCACAGCTAGGTCTTCTTGCTCTACCTTCAGGGCATTTTTTATCCTTTTTTGTTGTTTTAGTTGTCCACAGCTTCCTGGCTGTTGGTTTCTCTCAGAAACTCAATTGTGATGCAGACGAACAAAAGGTGTTTGGTCTTCCTAAGAAATCCCTTTTCTGACCTCCTTATCATCTTCATGGAGTCCCTGGGTGGTGGAAATGGTTAAGCTCTTGGCTACTAACTGAAAAGTTGGTGGTTTGAGTCCACCCAGAAGCACCTCAGAAGAAAGACCTGGCAATCTGCTTCCCAAAAATCAGCCATTGAAAACCCTGTGGGGAGGTTCTGTCTGAAACACATGGGGTCACCACGAGTCAAGAGTCGGCTCCGTGGCAACTGGTTTGATTTGGTTTTTGGTTTTTAATCGTCTTTGGATTTGAGTAATTAGTTCTGTTTTTGCAGACGACATTGTCTCCAAAAGCCCATTTCCCTTTCGTATACCTTCTTTCGCCAAATGAAGATTTGTGTGAAAGGTGAAGGTATTCTGCAGAACTGAAATATAACATTCTCTTTCTAACAGATATTCTGTTTTAAAGCAAAGCTACCCTTTTAAGTTGAAGCCAACAGCAAGATGTCTTCTGTACAGTGTTCAGGAAGAATTTGAAATTCAAGAGTAAGCCAAGGGAAAGAAAAGGCAATATAAATCTTAAGAAAAAAATTATATCCTTGGGTACTCTTGCTTAGTTTTTGATTGTGGCTGCCACGACTAAGATTTTCCTGTCTTCAGTCATGGTCTTAATATTTTGTTGTTAAAGGTCAAAGATAAGCAAATAAATAAGACAAATTGTTTTTAATAATATTGGGACTTCTACCAGAGAAATATTGATAGAGCAGGTTGAACAGGTTAAAATGGTTACTTTCCAGATGTTTAAATCTTCACATCCCATTGCCTTCAGGTATTTTTATGAGCTTAAGAGAATTTTTTTTTAAAATCATAATGGTTATATAAACATATGAAAAGAGTATATAACGTGGTACTAAATGTTGAAAGTTTTATTTTGCAGACTTACAAAGCCTTTCTACCTGCTATGATTGCTAATGATCATGGACATTTGGTTTGTATTTCAAGTTCAGCTGGATTAATTGGAGTACATGGGCTGGCAGGTAAGAGAAATGCCCTATTTCACAATTGCAGAATTCCTTATAACCTTAACTTACGTAATGGATGTGAATACTCAGCACAGTCCTAATAATAAATTAAGAGGTACGGACAATAAGATAAGTGGTTAAGAACACCATTGAGCAGCCAAACTGCCCATCAGATACGCTTATGTGAAGTTGGACTGTACACCTCGGAATCATTAGGAATTATACAGTCCCCTGATTTTAAAAAGAGAGAAAGAGAAATGCCTTACTGATAGATTTTTTGCACCAGTGGTTGGCATAGTAACAGTCCCCAAAATTCCACCTGGCACTGTCATCAGGATGGAAAGGACAACCCTGCCTCCTTCTAACATGTTCATTAGGCAGTCTCCCCCTGCTGTGAGTTTGGAGAAAGTTTCTGCACCCCAGAAAAAAAAACTGTTGCCGTTCAGTCAATTCCGACTCATAGCGAACCTATAAGACAGGGTAGAACTCCCCCACAGGGTTTCCAAGGAGCAGCTGTTGGGTTCAAACTGTCAGCCTTATGGTTGGCAACTGAGTTCTTAACCACTGCACCACCAGGGATTTTTCTCCACCCCAGAACGCCCAGAATGAACCTCTCTGCTAGTTCACTGGTTGTAGCCTTGCAGGAAGTGGTGGTCATTTCTGTCTGCCTTAGAGCAACGCACCAACTTGATAATAGCAGGGAGGAGGGAGCAAAAGTGATAATGCCAGTTCCTAGGGAAGGAGTCATGACTCAGAGCTGCCTCTAGGAGGAGCAGAAAGCTTGCCTTTATCTACCAAGCATCCCCTGGAGCCAAGGCCCTGTGTCCTGACTTAAGGAGACCACTGACACTCAGCCATCAGAAACTGTAGCAGCAACTCTCAGATAATAGATTGGACAGTGTGCTGATGGAGCCTTTCGTGATGCTTTGGATCCAAGCACAGTTCAGGATTCACAAAACTAGTCCTAGTACCGTCCATTTCATTTGCAGGCGTAGGTTTTTCAGCACCACCAGTCACCTAGAATTAGTACTACTCTCTACCCATCTCCTTGGACCCTGGACTTCCTTCCCTCTGGCCTTCGTAGAATCCATCGAGCATTATTATTATGTCTCTTTTACCTGTCTGATAAGTCACAGGCCTTTGAGATAATATGGGCATTTCTACAGCTCCTGTGAATCCTTTTTCTGGCCCAGTATCCCCATCTTTGGACATAAGACTCTCCCACTGCCAACTCACTATAGAAATAAATGGAAGCCTTTTGTGTTCCCCACCTCGGATCATCTGGGATGCCAGTTTAGAATGCAGATTCCCTGAGCCCTAGGCCATATCTGCTAATCAGAACCTCAGTGGTTGGGGGCTCAGTGAGCAGCCTTGTTACCAGATGCCACAGAGAATCCTAAAAAATGCTCAGGACTCATCGCTCCGCTCCCCTTTCCTCTTCTCTAGCCTCTTATCCACTACTTACCCATCCCAGGCCCAGCACTTATAACCTGGCTCCTGCCTGGTGTAGCAGCTATACTGCGACTTAGCAAATATGCCTCTTTTGGCTGTGTGAGACCAAAGAAAAGCCTAAGTTTACCCTAACTCGTTCTCTTCCCCAAACTTCTCCACTCAGAGAATTAAATATTCAGTTGTTTACTTAAAGCACATGTGACTTAAGACAGAAAGCTCAAAATGAACATAAATGCCACTTTCCACTGACCCCTTCATCTTCAAGGTATTTTAGAGGCTGAGGGTAAAGTTGCCAAGTCCTTTGTTTTTTCTGCAAGTGGAAGAAAGGGTTATAGTTGGAAGAAGACTTGGTCTGAATCTCATGACCCATGCTGACCTCTCTCACCTAAACTCCTATATCACTTGTTTAATTTCTTCCTTTGTATGTCTTTCAGCCCTAGTTGGGATGCACATCTTGCACCCCATGTCACAGCTAGCACAGTGTCTAACTTCTCATTGTCTTGTAAGCGAAGTCTGGGGGCATTGGTGGTTCAGTGGTAGAATTCTTGTCTTCCATGTAGGAGACATGGGTCGGATTCCCAGCTAATGTGCCTCATGCGCAGTCACTACCTGTCTGTCACTGGAGGCTTGTGTGTTGTCGTATTGCTGAACAGATTTCAGAGGAGCTTCCAGGCTTAGACAAACTAGGAAGAAAGGCCTGGCAATCTACTTCCAAGTATCAGCCAATGAAAACCCTATGCACCACAACAATCTGATCTGCTAACTAATCATGGGGATGGCGCAGGACCAGGCAGCGTTTTGTTCTGTTATTCATGGAGCTGCCATGAGTCAGGGGCCAACTCAACGGCACCCAACAACAACAGCAAGCAAAGTCTAGCAGTTTGGTGCATAGGAGAGCCACCGCAGCCGTTTTTTCTGGGTGTTCACTGGGTCATTCAGTTTAGTGGACTTGTGCTTTTCCCATTCACTGCTCATCTCCTCCCACCAAACTCTAAGAACTCTGAAATCATTGTCACAGTCTCTGTTGGCATTAGTGTAACAAGTAAGTCTTAATGTAATATTATAAAGATTTTGGAATGTTCTTTAGCATTATTTGTCTTTTTCAGATTATTGTGCAAGTAAATTTGCGGCCGCTGGGTTTGCTGAATCTATGTTTGCAGAAACAATTGCCCAAAACCAAAAGGGGATCAAAACTACTATCGTGTACCCCTTTTTTATAAAAACTGGAATGTTTGATGGTTGTTCTACTAGGTAAGTATATCCTTTGATTTCAAAGAAACTACATTTTTTTTAAATGATTGGCAGTTACTTTTATTTATTCTTTGTTTTTTAAAGTTGTTTTGAAAGATAATTTTCTAGGACTCAGCTTAATTTATAAATGGTTTCAGAATTTGTCTTTCCTAGTATGTGGTGGTATCTAAAATACTGAGTTTAATGCAAATGACTTATCAAAGCAGTGTCCCCAAGTGGGCCACCCTCTAGCTTGGATCTGCTGGTCCATCTCCGGGGTTCTTACTGCCACGCAGTCCGACTCTGCCCTCCTCTCCCAACCTCACAGGCCATTGGAAGTCATTGAAGGGCACGTTACCCAATTCTGCATCTCACAGAAATCACAAGCAGTTTGTCTTCAACCACTTTGTTGCACAACATTTAGATCCATGTGTTTAACGTGATTTCACATATATGTATATGGCAATGCCAGTGTATGAGTTAGATCATTATTTTCCATTTCAAATTCTAGCTATGTTATTACTCCTCACGTTACTAATAAGGGAGTAAACATAAAAATGGATGAAATTGGGTAAGAAAAGAAGCAAGTAAGTGATAATGTTTTACCACCTTTTTATCCCTAATTTGGAAGAATTGTTTTTATTAATGTGGTAATCTGTGGGCATTTTTTTTCCTAGCTTTCCAAATCTGTTGCCTATTCTGGAACCAGAATATGTCGTCAGAAAAATAGTAGATGCTATTCTGCAAAATCAGCTGTATTTGTGTATACCAAAGAGTTTATACTTCCTGCTTTTTTTAAAAAGGTAACAATATCAGCTTCCTTTTAGCATCTTCTATTACTTTTTTAACGTGCCAGTCAACAACTTATTTCATATCCCACCAGGAGGAGCCACTTAAAAAATAGCCGTTAAATGAATGAATTTTAAAAAGGAAAATCTGTTAAGTCCTGTTGAGCCCTTCATGAGCCCTTTGCTGTCTTACTCTCAAATCTGCAACTCCACAGCACTCTCCAGGAGTCTAGCAAGTGGGGTTGACCCTCCCCCGCCATCTCAGGATTGTGCTACTGTCAAAAAAAAGTGGATTTACTGAGTGATCTATGGACAAAAGGAATTTTTTTTAGGAAAAATGCTGTCTTGTGCTTATTATAAAACAAGCCTATTGGAATAGATGTTGTACCCAAGCTTCGTCAAGTACAGGGCCCCAAAGTTGGGGTTGGACATTAAGCCAGACACTTGTGGTATAAGTAAAATTGGCAATCAAGAATAAATTTGTGCTATTAGATGGTTAAAGAACCTGAGGAAGAAACTTAAAAGAGAACCACCTCTTAAAAGCATGAGAAAGCATCTTTGTCCCTCTTTCTCTGCTCCACATGGACTAACTGCTGAAAGCCATCAACCCCAGTTTATGAGCAGTTGACCAAATGACAGGGATGATTATGCCAAATTACTTAAGCAGCAGCTGATTCCTCCTATCTCAATTCATTTCCTAGACTATAAAGGGTCATCTAAATAAGCTTCCCCCGACAGGGGTTTCTGCTTTGCAAGGAAGCTCATTGCACTATTGAACCACTTCCCTCTGTTGAGTTGAAATTTTTCTCATTTTCACTTCCTCTTGCTGGTGCTAGCTTTGCCCTCCAGCACTACATGTAATTCCATTCCTGTCACAATGACAGAGAAGCCCTGGTGGTGCAGTAGTTAAAGTGTGTGACTGCTAACCAAAAAGTTGGTGATTCGAAACGACCAGCAGGTCCTTGGGAGAAAGATGTGTCAGTCTGCTTCCATAAATAATTACAGCCTTGTAAACCCTGTGGGGTCTCTGTGAGTTGGAGTCGGACAACAGTGGGTTTGGCTTTGATAGTGACAAGTCTTCGGTTATTTGAGCGTAGATATCATACCTTAGGAAACCCTGGTGGCATAGTGGTTAAGAGTTCAGCTGCTAACCAGAAGGTCAACAGTTTGAATCCACCAGCCGCTTCTTGGAAACCCTATTGGGCAGTTTTACTCTGTCCTGTAGGGTTGCTGTGAGTCGGAATCAACTCAACGGCAGCGGGCTTGGTTTTTATCATACCTTACCTCCACCACATGGCTAGTCGCTGTTGCCCTTCCTATACACAGAAATTCCTTTTTTCTTCAGCTAACATGTCTGCTTTGTGTAGGGAGCCCAAGTCATTTCTACATGCTCTCGCTTGGCCAGGGCTTCACCCTGCCCAGGGGTGATTACTGTGGCTGACTGAGGCTGGGAGGGGTAGGGCAAAGGTTCTTTGACAAGGATTTAAAAGCCTGGTCTGTTTTTCTGCTTTGACTAAGTCTGTGACTCTGAGCATGCCATTTGTTTTCTGGACTCCCATTCCACATGCATAACAGAGAACAATGTTTGTTACAGCCTGTAGGTCAGTATGATGCATTCTGTCCTGGGCACTGTGTGCATTCACAGGGCAGTGAGTCCTTGCCAGTTAGATAGAGGTTTGTAGTGTAGGGATGCCAATTTTGCGGTCTCTGGGTGGCTGCTAACTGAAAGGTTGGCAGTTTGAAACTACCCAGAGGCTCCTTGGAAGAAAGCCCTGGCGATCTGCTTCTGAAAAATCAGCCATTGAAAACCCTATGGAGCGTAGTTCTACTCTGACAACACGTGGGGTCTCTATGAGTTGGGTCAACTCGACAGTGACTGGTGGTGCTGGAAATGCCAGTTGTTTAAGAGCATGGGACTGAATTTTTCTATTTTGAATAATTATGGAGGTTATATTTACTTTTGTGGGATAATGGTTCTGATCCAACATGTGAATGAGGGCTGTGTAGTTCCTGAGGAGGCTTAAGCAAATGTAGGACCCAGTAAAGAGCCTCAGTGAAGGGGATCCCACCACACACTCCATACACTCGGAACTGACTCTAGATCCTCTTTCATTCACTCACTCACCAGTCTTTAGAGAATGCCTAGTGTTCTCCATCCTGGCTCTGAGGTTACAGCAGTCAGCAAAAACAGACAGGAGTCACTTCTCTCATGGAAATTATCTTGTTGGGTCAGGGGGTGGGGGGTGGTGTCAGGAAACAAACAAAAAGATAAAGTAAAAGAATAGGTATGCTGACGGGTGCTACATGCTATGAAGCAGGAAAAGGAAATCCCAGAGTGGGAGTGGAGAGAGGCAAGGTGAGGTTTAGTTTTAAATATGGTACTCAGGGGAGATCTCATGGAGAAGGTAACATGGAGAGCTGAAGCTGGTGGGGGAGTGAGCCACATGGATGTCAAGGGAAGTGTGCAGAGGCCATTGCCTCCCCCCATGCTGTGTCTGCTCCTGCCTCTCCATTCCTGCAGCAGGAGTGTCAGGAATGACGCGGGTGGTGTGCTGGGCTGCAATAGTGTGCATGTGTGTCTGTCTGGGGTGTGTGAAGAAAAAGACCATTCTGGAATCAGTCTTGCCAGAAGGTCTGAGGAGCCATGGCATCTAATCCTCTCAGTAGTCCTAGAAAGAAAGATTTGTGCCCTCACGTACGCTCGAGGAAACTACAGCTCACACATTAAATGACTTGCCTGAGATGGCTTTGTAAACGACAGAGCTAGGATTTGAGCCAAGCGCAGTTGGCCAGCAAAGCCCAGGCACATACCACAATACTTGGCTGCTTCCTGTTGATCATTCAGTAGTGCACGGAAGCTCTGGAAACTGAAACAGAGCGAATGGAGTAACACAGCCAAAGCAAGGAAAGAGAGGGGGTCTGGGAAATGTCCTCTTAAATCATGAGGAATCTCCCTGGGCCAGGGCAGTGACTCTGAGCTAGCACAGGGTAAGGCCTGCGTGATGTGTGCATGTGTGGGGACCTCACCTGGGGCAATAGGGAGCACTGCTGCTCCGCCGAACTGGTGAAGGTGCTTTCATGAATGATAACCAAGAGAGCTTACTCTTGTGTTCTCTGTAGTTTCTTGCCTGTCAGGACGGCACTGATGATAGCTAGATATCTGGACATCTTTCATCTAATGGATGGTGTCATGAAGAAGAAAGATGAAAAGACCAGCTCTACTTCTGATGCCATCAGATATCCGAATCCAACTTGATCTAATGCTTCTTTCAGTGAAGAACAGTAATTTGTGTCCAACAGTCGTATATATGTTCATCAAATTCCTTTGGAAATAGTGTGGCTATCTGCTTTTTGGTTGAGATTTTTTTTTTCCCCAAGAATAAAAGACAACCCATTGTTGTCACTTCTACTTGTAACAGATATGAGAGAGATGAGTCTTTCTTTGAGGAGCTGCCCTCAGCTTTGGTCATTGGGGAGGTGGCTCAAATGGCAATGTGAGACCTCATATTTCATCCCAGATTTCTAAATAGCCAGGAACCCATTAGAAAAAGGGCAGCAGCAACTAACAGTGAATATTCTCCAGGAATATCACATCTTTCCGATCGGAGCTGCACACTCAGGAAGCTCCTAGAGCGTTAGCATGTGGAAAGTAGCTTTTATTACTTACCCAAAAAGGCAGACAGTACACCAGAACAAATTCGGATCTATTTTTTAGTGTCCCCCTGACTCTAGAAGGCTGTCTGGGCCGGGATGATGACTCTTTTACATTTACCGCAATTTGCCACACAGGCAAAAGACTTAAAAGGGGGGCTACCTTCTGCCAATCCTCCTAGGCTTAGTAGGTGAACAGAAAACTTCTGTTACATGTGCTCCATCTAGCACTGCAGCCAAGGGACTGTGAAAATCTCTCCACCAACCATTATTCCCCAAAGCCTATGGGGCACCCTCCGTGGAGCACAATGTAGGTGTTTCTCACCTGACTACCTAGTGGGGGGCAGGGGTCAGATAACTTGGCCCTAACCCAGAAGAGTATCTCTAAACCTGCTGACAAGCATCAGGCCTCAGAGGGTGGGGGCAGTGGTTTGCTCTGAAGCCTAAAGATGCTGGCAGGGGGAGCAGTGGGGAAGACCATAGCTGGGCTTGTCTGAAGGACTGCCTCCTCATGAGCAGGAACTGGGCTGGCACCGACCCTGGGGAGCAGAGGGGAAGGATGCCCCCTCTCCATAGGACACAGAGCTTGGGCTTTCCCATCACCTTGCTCTCAGCTTTGGCCCTTGGAACCTATACCACCTGCTGTAGAAAGTCCAGCCTCCCACACCATTCTTTCAAAAAAAAATTGCTGTCGAGTCTATTCAACTCATAGTGACCCTATAGGACAGAGTAGAACTGCCCAATAGGGTTTCCAAGGAGCAGCTGGTGGATTTGAACTGCCAACTTTTTGATTAGCAGTAGAACACTTAACCACTGCATCACCAAGGCTCCATTCTTTCCAAAGCACTATCCAAATGCTAACTTCTAAATTCCCTGGACATTTAGTCCAATGCTAGTCTGGCCAAAGGTGCCTGAGTGCCATTTGTTGGGGAGGTCTACTGGACAGTCCATGAACAACCTCAGTAGGTGGTGATTCTAGACAAAACTCTGCAGTAAGATTGCATTTTTTTTCCCAGAAGAGATCAAAGAATGGTTGCTTTTTACTCTGAACATAAAGCTTAGTGAGTTAGATATATTGCTACCTATTGATCCAAAAAACATACTCTTAGGTTAATTTAAAGTCCTTTGTATTTCAGGTTGGGCTTCACGTTGAGACATTTTTCCATGGACTGGGGAATTTTGAGCCTTTGTATTCCTCAGTGCTGTGTTCACTTCTGATCTGTTATATTCTTACAGTTTAATCAACTGGCAAAATACTTTGATGCTTTGGAGATTCACCACAAAAGCAAGAGTAAGAAAAAATATGTTAATTACTATATCCCTGGACTGCCTTCCCAGGCTGGTAGGGGCACCTGCCTGAGAGAGAGACAGGCGCCTTGTCCCTTACCCCTTGTTTGTTTGGAGACAAGGAAGGGATGAGAAATATCTTGGAAGAAAGACCCTGTCAGAGTCAAAAGCAGGAAGAGTTTAAATATTTTGTGGGTAAGCGTGCCTTTGGAGAGGCAGGGACCCAGGAATGTGGAGTGTGGGCTCCACTGATAGATGGATTTAACTTGAGCAGCCAGTGTGATTCTGACAACTCCATCCCTGCATTTCTTTTCCATCCAGAAAGCCGAAAAATACAAATAAACTTGTTTTATGATAATATAACATTGAGAGCTAATGTATATTGAGCCTGGCACCAGGCTAACCACTTTGCACCCATTATTTCATTAAACAAGAATATCACATCATTACTCAAAGAATATTGAAGGGATTTGGTGTATGCCAAAGATTCAAAGGCATTTTCTTTCACAGTGACATCCTACTCCACTGTAGATGTGTACTGAGAGGATCAAAAGGCCCTCGTAGCTATGGGGACCATGGTCTGGGGGAACATCTAGCTCAATTGGCATAACACAGTTTATAAAGACAATGTTCTACATTCTACCTTGGTGAGTAGTGTCTGG